AGAAGGCCCTGAGGCAGGTCCAAAGATAAGGAGGCAGATAGACTGGCAGACCCTCAACAAAAGGATAAACAGAGTTAACCATGTATGAAAGAGCATTCCCAGCTGCAACCAGCACTATAACCAGCTAATCAAACCAGGCCAAATCACGTCCCAGGCAATTTTCTGGGCAGCCCTCAGAGAGTCACCCAGCCTGACAAGTCAGCCAATTATGCCTGATCATTCTCTGCAGCCCTGTCCTTATAAAAGACAAGTCCAGACTGGCCCAATGTAGACAAATGAGCAGTTCTATCATCTCTGAAAGGCAATCTAATTCCCTTCAAATTTAAAAGTCTCTACAGTTTCCTAACAGGCCTCAGTGGGGCACAGGTAGAAATTAATAAGTTCACAGTGTGCCCACTTGCTTTCATTATCATTTTTCTTGCCAGGCAGTGGACAGGATTTTCATTGTTACTCAAGAATTTTTTTTCTGTATCTGATTCTCTAAGAAGGTCAAATCTACAGAGCTCAGACACTGGGTTGAGAATTGAGTCAAGTCTAATAATGGACTTGATTCAAATCTGAGGGAGGTTTCATTGACTGAGCATCAGCACTTTACTGATCTGGTGGGGCAGGTATCAAAAGGCAGTATCACAGGGAAAGAGAACTCAGAGTAAGTGCTGAGAAGCCCTAGCTCTAGATTCACCCCAGGCTGGCCTGTTCTCGGATGCTGGGCAAGTTGCTCAGCCTCTCTGAGTTAGTTATCTCCCCTGCAAAACTGGCAGGGAGGAGGGGATGGAATAGGAAACTCAAATTTATTAAACTTCCCCTATATCTTGAAGCATTGCAAGATGTCTCATAGACACTCTAAATTTCATCAAAACAACACACAGCCCTGGAAAGCTTCTATTATTTTACAGATGACAGTAAAGCTACTACTAAATCACACCATTAAAATGAACCTTATGAGGGCCAGGGACTGAGGGGCTTGGGTGGCTTGAATGCAATTGCAAACTCATAGAACTTTTCTGGAAAGCAATTTTACATGTTTCACAACCTGTAAAATGCTTGGCCAATTATCTACAATTCTGGAAATCCATCCAAACAACAGAATCTGAAATGTGGACACATGTTATAATAAAAGAGAATTGAAAATAGACATATTGCCAATCAAACAGAATGGTAAACTCTAGAACACCCATTAAGTAGGAAATCATGCAGCCATTTAAAAAGTTGAAGAAAAATATGCAATAAAATGGCAAATTTTCATTACTTTAATGGGAAAAAATATGTTAGTATTCAAAATGAGGTATAATAACACATTTTTTTGAGATAGGGTCTTGCTCTGGAGTGCAATGGCACAATCTCAGTTCATGGCAGCCTCAACTTCCTAGGCTTAGTTGATCCTCCTACCTGAGCCTCCTGAGTAGTTGGAACTATAGGTACATGTCAACAAACCCAGCTAATTACTATTAATTATCATTATTATTATTTTGCAGAGACAAGATCTTACCATGTTTACCAGGCTGGTCTTAAGCTCCTGGGCTCAAGCAATCCTCCCTGCCTCAGCTTCCCAAAGTGCTGGGGCTTGTACAAGCATGAGCACCTAGTGTAATCACAAACTCCTGGGCTCAAGCAATCCTCCCTGCCTCAGCTTCCCAAAGTGCTGGGGCTTGTACAAGCATGAGCACCTAGTATAATCACAAACTCCTGGGCTCAAGCAATCCTCCCTGCCTCAGCTTCCCAAAGTGCTGGGGCTACAAGCATGAAGGTAAAAAAAAAAAAAAAAAAAAAAAAGTAGAAAAATTAAAATAAGGAAATATACTAAATGTTAAAAGAGTCTCTCTGGGGTTATAAAAACATATACTTCATTCTTTTTCTGTGTGTTTCACTATGTTATCCACAGTTTCAACAATAAATACTTATCTCATATACCTCACTTGCTATAGTTGTAATCAGGAGATCTACCACAAAAGCTACTTTAAATCCCTGAATTTTACACTTATATACAAAAGGCAATCATATTTATTTAAACGAAAATCACTTGAAATCATATATGATTCTAAATGATATATTGGCAGAATCTATGTATAGAACATTTTTCTTAAAAAAAATTAAAGGGGGAGACAGGTAAGAGAAATAAAACAGAGCACAAGTGGTATGGATGGAACTCTCTTCCACAAAGCTTATAGCCTACCTCCTGGGCTAAATGGGAAATAAAAACCACTGGGAAAGGGGTGGAAAAACTGACATACAATACAAGGGCAGTTGATAAGGGAGAGCTAAAAGCTTCGGTTGACTTCGAGGAGTGATGGAGTTGGCAGATATGAATTTTTCAATTTTATGAGAATGATAGGGATCTGAAATAAATCTTCGGTATTTTCTTTTTAAGACAAATGTTTTAAAATAAATGCCTGCAGCATGGATGGATGGCTAGTGCCTTGTGTCCTGTCTTAGAACTGATCATAAATAACACTGAGAAAAATAGCTCTGGCTATTCTAAAAAGCACCTTTATTTTTTACCCCTAAGAGCTTGGAGGATTATATTTTGATGCATTAAGCTAGATTTTTTTTAAGGCAGCTGCAAATAACAGAAGTATAGAAGTTGTCTTTAAATGGAAATAACTACTCAGAGCTTGGCTTAGAAACTAACTATGGTTTCAAGAAGTGCTGAACAGTTGTGGGTGCATCTAACGGTCAGAATACAAAGTTTAAAGGCATTTGATGGGTTCATAACTTAAGGAAATCTTTTGGTGAGTCTTCAGATGAAACATTTAATTTTTCTGCAGCCCTATAACCAACAAACTTAAATAACCTTTTGTAAATTCAAACGTTCAAATATCAGATTAGTTAGAGTTTGTTTTTTTTTTTATTCTGGTCTGTACATTTGAGAGCTTATGACTTTACTGTAGAACAGCTTTTTCAATGACTTCAGTTTCCCTTTCACTATTTTACATTAAAGGACATGAAAGAACAGGATGTTAAAGGCAGACATACAATCAGACACATTGCTGATTTTTTTAAGTGCCAGCCTCAGCACACTGCAACAACTTCATATCATCTGATTACTTCCTGTTTGTCATTTATTTTCTGCCATATTTGAAAGAGGGGTCACATGTTCAGATGGAAGGGTGAATGAGAGGATCTGCTTGGTGGAAGGACCTCTGCGTAAAATAGGCTCTGAGGGAAGGGGCTGAGGGAAGCCAGGGGCTCACGCTCAGGGGAAAAAGAAAAGCCACACTCAGCCCTGTATTTCAGATCTGATTGATCAAGATAAACTATAATCCTGCATTTTTATGCTAAATCTCCCAAGTTTTAAATGTTGTTTCTATTCATGTTTTGCTGTCACCTAGAATAGAGTGCAGTTGATACAATCATAGTTCACAGCAATCATCTAAAACTCCTTGAGTTAAGCGATCCTCCTGCCTCAGCTTCCTGAGAAACTACAACTAAGCATGCACCACCATGCCCAGCTAATTATTATTACTATTATTTTATTTTTTAAAGACGGGTTCTGATTATGTTGCCCAGGCTGGTCTTGAACTCCTGGCCTCAAGTGATTCTCCTGCCTCAGCCTCCCAAAGTGCTGTGGTTACAGACAAGAGCCACTACATCCGGCATCTATTTTTTTAAGTGCATAATAAACTGAGCATTTCTATGACCCAAACATTTTTACTAATATTTGTTTAAAAATCTCATTTCCAGGGATCGCTAAGAATTGCCGACTAAGCTCAATACCATCATCAGCTATGTCCAAGAAAGAGATGTGCTGGAGTCTTCCTAGACTGGCAAAGAAGGTCCAGGGAAGATACTTCATCTTTTGTGGTAAAGACTGCACGGAGTATATATTTCCAACTGGCATTTGTTAAAACTGGGACTCTGAGAGTGATTGGGAAATGTATGGAAATGCCTCAATTCTTAACACCACGTAAGTTCTTAAAAAAAAAAAAAAAAAAAAAAAAAAAAAAAAGCTTTCTTCTGGGGGTAAAGAGCGTCTCCCTCACTCTTTGCAAGAATGCTTATGGGTTTATCTTAATTTCCCCATTTAACCTACCTTCTCACTCCATACTTTATAATATTCTAGAATAAAAGATGTCTTCACAGAGCTTATCTCTTAGAGGTGCAGAAGAACCCCCTTTTCTTTGCCCAAGTAGCTCAGAATGTAGCAGACAAACTGTCAGAAAAAAAGACTTCATTATGGTGAAAACCTCAGCCTGGCACCCATCTATCATAAAGCAATCTTCTAGAAATCTTGAAAACCTTCATTAAATTTCCTGTCTCTCTCCTGACAGTTACAAAATGTTAACAATATTACTCATGATGCAGGCATCTTCAGAAACCCTTTGTCTAATCCCTCCTTCCACCACCATCACCAGTCCCTTCTCTTCATCAAAATCCATGGAAACATGAGACATAGCTGAGTTCCTCACTCACCCCTCCTGCGGCCTATCCCTTGAACAGGATCCAAGGAGGAAGCAGAGGTAGCGTTGATGATAGTGAGGCTCTCTAGCCACAAGACTGGGAGTGAAATATGGCACTGTCTGGGGATTCCTCCTCCAAAGATACACCCACTTGGAAGCTCAAGGATAAGACCCTGTGCCACTCTTAGCAGATGTTTCCTGGTCTTCCTCTCTCCCCCTTTTCTCTTGCCAGTTTACCAAGCTACCAAGTTCATCAATTATATGTGGCTAGTAGGAACAACAGGTCATCCCTCTATGGGTAAAATTCCCCTAAGACCCTTACTAGAGCAACTTCTCCAACTCCACAGGCCACTTCAGCAATTTATCACCCCTTAGAAGAAAAAGAAACAAGGGTCTTGCATTGGAGGCAAGATGAAGAAAAAAAAAAGAGAACCAGTATCCCCCCTGGAAATAAGAAAAGGCATATAGCTTTAACATCACAGGCTGATCTAGAGATGCATAGGTTGGTGACAATAGCTATAAAGCCATATCCTGGGCTTTGCAGAGGCTTCACAGCACATCTTCAAAGTGAGCCAAGCCCAGCCACCCAAAACATAATCTTACCTGCAAAAGGAACTGGTGCATCTTTATCCAGGGCTACCAGTGGTGGATCCAAAATGACTGTGTCATTGTTCTCAGTTATGACCCCATGATACGAAGTCTCGATCCATGGCTTGTGCTTGTTGACTAGAAAATAGGAAAACAAAACCAAACAAAAAGGATCACTATTTGAATAACCAGCCCATAATACTGTATTATTAAGACTGTATGTTTGCCCACTCATAGGCTCTTATCCAACAATCCCATGAGAGACATGGAGCATGATAATCCCAGTTTAAACTCAGAAAACCTTCAGAGAAGGGCAGGGAGAGGTTCAACCACTTGGAAGGTGAGGGACAGCAGTGACTCTCAAATACTGTTTTGCCTCTAAGACCATGGGTCCTTCACCTCACCAAAATCTCATTATTTGTATTTCTGGATGCCCAGTATAGATAGATATTATTGAGAACTGATTGAAAGCTTTAATTCTCTAATGCTACTGTCTATTAATAGATATTTCAGAGCTGAAGTCCTTTATCAATCAATAAACTAGCAGTTACTGCTATTTATGCTGGGGTTTCTGACCTCAACTGAATCTGATCCATCATTAGAAGTTACTGCATTTTATATACATATATACATGCATACACATACACATGTATAAATATCATTATATATGTAACAATACAACAGATATTTGAGTATTTCTGATCATTTAAAAACTATGTCTATCTCAGTGGTCTAAATTATCTAGCAACTTAAGTTGTTCTTTAGTAATTTGACTAGCTGAAATAAATATTAACCAATGAACAACTAATATACTTAAAATACATATCAAGTATGTTATAGGTTGAACTGTGTCCTGCACATAAAGAAATACATTGAAATCCTAACACCTAGAATCTCAGAATGTGAAGGTATTGGGAGGTGGAATCTCTACTGTGGTTAATCAAGTTTTAAAATGTCATTTGGATGGCTCCTCATCCACTATGATTGGTCTACTCATATAAAGGGAAAGTTTCAGCACAAATATATGCATACTGAGCGAATCTCACATGAAGGTGGGGTTGTGCAGCCCCAGGCCAAGGATCTACAGGAAGCTAGGAGAGAATCCTGGGACAGAGCCTTTCCTAGAGACTTTGGAAGGAATCTGGTCCTACCAACACCTTAATTTCTTATTTCTGGCACCCATAAGTGTGAGACAGTAAGTTTGTGTTTTTCCCAGATACCCAGTGATATGGTTTGGCTCTGTGTCCCCACCCAACTCTCATCTTGAGTTGTACTCCCATAATTCCATATGTTATGGGAGGGACCCGGTGGTAGTTAATTGAATCATGGGAATGGCTTCCCCTATTCTGTTCTCGTCGTTATAAGTCCCACAAGATCTGATGGTTTTCTCAGGGGTTTCTGCTTTTGTCTCTTTCTCATTTTCTCTTTGCCCACTGTCACCCATGTGAGACAGGATGGTGAGATGTCCAATTAAATCTCTTTCTTTTGTAAATTTCCCAGTCTGTGGTATGCCTTTAGAGCAGCATGAAAATGGACTAATACAGTAAATTGGTACCAGTAGAGTGTGGCGTTGCTGAAAAGATACCCAAAATGTGGAAATGAGTTTGGAACTGGGTAACAGGCAGAGATTGGAACAGTTTGGAAGGCTCAGAATAAGAAAGGAAAATGTGAGACAGTTTGGAATTTCCTAGAGGCTTGTTGAATGGCTTTGCCCAAAATGCTGATATCGATATGGCCAATAAGGTCTAGGCTGAGGTGGTCTTAGATGGAGAAGAGGAACTTGTTGGGAACTGGAGAAAAGGTGACTCTTGACTCTTATTATAATTTAGCAAAGAGACTGGCAGCATTTTGCCCCTGCTCTAGAGACCTGTGGGACTTTGAACTCAAGAGAGATGAGTTAGGGTATGTGGTGGAAGAAATTGTAAAAGCAGAAAAGTATTCGAGAGGTGACTTGGGTACTGCTAAAAGCATTCAGTTTTAAGAGGGAAACAGAGCAGAAAAGTTTAAAAAATGTGCAGCCTGACAATGGGATAGAAAAAAAAATTCCAATTTTCTGAAGAGAAATTCCAGCCAGCTGTAGAAATTTGCATAAGTAACAAGGAGCCCATTGTTAATCCCCAGGACAATGGGGAAAATGTCTCCAGTACATCTCAAAGACATTTGTGGCAGCCCCTCCCATCACAGGCCAGTGCGCCTAGGAGGAAAATGTGGTTTCGTGGGCTGGGACCCTGAGCTGTGTGCAGCCTAGGGACTTGGTGCTCTACATCCCAGCTGCTCCAGCCATGGCTGAAGGGGGCCAACATAGAGCTCAGGCTACAGCTTCAGATTGCTTAGGCTTCCAGCCTTGGCAGCTTCCATATAGTATGGAGCCTACAGTGCACAGAGTCAAGAATTGACTCTGGATTTCAGAACAGGTACAGAAATGACTGAATGCCCAGGCAGAAGTTTTCTGCAGGGGAGGGGCTCTCATGGAGAACCCCTGCTATGGTAGTGCAGAAGGGAAATGTGGGGTCGGAGCCCCCACACAGAGTCCCTACTGCCTAGTGGAGCTGTGAGAAGAAGGCCACCATCCTCCAGACCCTGGAATGCTAGATCCACTGACAGCTTGTACCATGTGCCTGGAAAAGCGGCAGACACTCAACACTAGCCCATGAAAGCAGCTGGGAGGGAGGCTGTACCCTGCAAAACCACAGAAGTGGAGTTGCCCAAAACCATGGGAACCAACCTCTAGCATCAGCATGGCCTGGATGTAAAACGTGGAGTCAAAGGATATCACTTTGGAACTTTAAGATTTGATAGCCACACTGGATTTTGGACTTGCACAGGCCCTGTAGCCCTTTTGGTTTGGCCAATTTCTCCCATTTGGAATGACTGTATTTACCCAACGTCTGTACCCCCATTGTATCTAGGAAATAACTAGCTTGCTTTTGATTTTACAAACTGATAGGCAGAGGGGGCTTGCCTTGTCTCAGATGACACTCTGAACTGTGGGCTTTTGATTAATGCTGAAATGAGTTAAGACTTTAGGGGACGGTTGGGAAGGCATGATTGTTTTTGAAATGTGGGGACATGAGATTTGGCAGGGGCCAGGGGAAGAATGATATGGTTTGTCTGTGTCCCCATCCAAATCTCATTTTGAATTGTACTCCCATAATTCCCACATATTGTGGGAAGGAGCCCATGGGAGATAACTGAATCATGAGGGAAGTTTCTCCCATACTGTTCTCACAAGATCTGATAGTTTTATCAGAGGTTTCTGTCTGTGTGTTCCTTATTCTCTTTGCCTCCTGCCATCCATGTAAGACAGGACTTGATCTTCCTTGCCTTCCACCATGATTGTGGGGCTTCCCCAGCCACGTGGAACTGTAAGTCTAATTAAACCTCCTTCTTTTGTAAATTGCCCAGTCTTGAGTATGTCTTTATCAGCAGCAAGAAAATGGACAAATACATCCAGCATGTGGTATTTTGTTCCAGCAGCCCTAGAAAATGAATACAGTATACTTATATCAGCAGGTACTAATGAAGGGTAGAGAACTGAAATTAGACTGTGCCAGGATTTGGTATAATGTTCCTATGTGAGAACCTCATCTTTTGAAAACCTAGTTCTTGCCAATTCCTTCCCCTTGTATGTCTTGTTTGATTGGTTCTGGCCCAACCCACTCCTATCTGGACAGCTGCAGGGGCCTCCTGACTGGTCTCTCTGTTGGAAGTCTTGTGCTACGCCAGTCTATTCTGCACACTGGTATCAAGAGCGATCTTTCTAACATTAATCTGATTCTCAATTGTGAGATGCTTGGTTCTTCTTTTTTAGTCTCCCCCATACCCTCAACAGAAGTCTGGATACAGAGTATATACATTAGAACCAAAATAGCAGGTTAGAGAGGAGACTAGAATAATCAAAATTGTTCTGATGCCAACCCTGCTTCATAGTTTAAAAGGTGTGGTCACATATCCAGTGCTTCCCACAACATCCTGTGAGGTAGGCATGATCATTATAAAGAAAATAAACTACCTCCACAAGGTGTAACTTTCCCAAGGTGATTATATGGTTAAAAATTAATAGGTGGGAAAACCAGAAACTCATCAGTTTGTAATATATGAAAAGTGCATGCACACACACGTAATATATATGTAATGCACATTATACTGTATGTAATATACTGTATAGATTACATTACAAATTTTTCAGTAGCTACAGCAAAGTGAGAGCTTATAGAATTGAGAGCAGCTCTGAAGCAGTGGCTCCTGTCCCTTCCCACCTCATCATCCTTATCCAAGATCAGTGGCAGACTCAACCAGGGCCACCATTTTGCTCCTTCTCACCCATTCCACAGCAATCACAAACTTACTGAAAAGCAGTCTAATGAGGCGGGGACATGTCTTTGTCATTCTCAGGTCTTTGCCCCTGAAACCCATTTTTATAGATTTCACCATGCCCAGGGCAGAGAGAAGAAGCTCTGGCCACTGCAGGTGTGAACTGAGCAGTAGGCGCATCCATCCTCACATTTTGGCATTCAGACCAATGCTTCATTATGGACCCTGGAAGAATTACAACCACCCTGGGCTGTCCCCACACTCCTTTGCTCTGTTATTAGCCAACAACACAAATGCAATGTAAATAATTTGCAGCTGTTGGAGGAAACAATTAAATCTTTTTTCCCCTTAATTAAACCTAGGGGCCTATTCATTAGAACTGTGTACAGAGCATACGCCAGGAGCTCACTCGGTGTTTCAGATTCATTGTGCCTATCTAAATGGTCTAAATCAGATAGGCTCAGTGGCAGGCAATGAAATCTAAAGTTGCAGTTCTTGGTTTTAGCCCTGACTTAGCCATGTCTAGCTGGTCCTACGTGAATCCGGTGGCCTCTCAGAGCTTCAATTCCCACAAGTGTAAAATGCTGATGATGATGCCACTTACAGTATTGTTCTGTTATTCATATGTCCTGTGCTAGACACACAGCTGCTGCTTTTTCATTACTCAGACTCACCACCCTCCTCTCTGGGCAGTGACAGTGTTGGCAGGAGAGGTGATTTTAGACCAACTTTAAAGCTGAGGCTTTTCCCCTCATTAGGAAATGGGCTGACTTCCTTCTATGCACAAGTCTGCCTTCCTTTACTTCTCTCCATCACTACTTGAG